CCGTATTTAATCCCCCACATAACATATTTAATCAATTTCTGTCTAAAAAATGTAGTTTTTCCAAATGCCTGGAAAGAAGGTCTAGTTATTCCCATCCCAAAAGTTGCCTCCCCTGAAAATTTAAATGAACTTCGCCCTATAACCATTCTTCCTACTCTTTCCAAAGTTTTGGAAAGAATCGTAGAATACCAACTACGAGATCATATTGATAAATATGACATTCTTCCAACTACACAATCCGGGTTTAGAGCGGGATATAGCTGTGGAACTGCTCTTTTAAACATAACGGATGATTTTTTTAAGGAACTGGATAATGGAAAGTCGGGTGCTTTAATTTTGTTAGACTATAGCAAGGCATTTGATATGATTAACCATGAATTATTCTTAGCAGTGTTACATTTTATTGGTCTCAGCCCGCTCTCCGTAATCTTTTTTAGGAATTATCTCATTGGCAGAACTCAAAGGGTAATATATGGGGGTGTATCGTCAACCATACGGGAAATCGGACGAGGTGTGGCCCAAGGCTCAATTCTTGGGCCCTTATTTTACACTATCTATACAAGCAATTTCTCTTCAGTACTGCAATATTGTAAGGCCCATACGTATGCTGACGATACACAGTTATATAAATTTTTTGAAAAAAAAGATGAATTAAAAGCAATACAGGAAATTAATACTGACCTAAACGCCTTGCTAAGTATTTCTACTGAGCATAATCTAGTAATTAATCCGAATAAATCATCTGTTATGTTGTTTGGTTCAACATTGTTGTATAATACTCCGATAAAAATTGATAATTTATCTTTACAACCGACACAAAAGGCAAAAAACCTGGGTGTTATATTCGATAATAAGTTAAAGTTCACCGATCATGTTTCTTTCATTCTGCAGAAGTCTTATCTAAAATTAAAAACATTATACCAATGCAGACATTTATTTGATATAAAATTAAAAAAATTACTCTGTGATTCTCTTGTTTTAAGTCATGCAAATTACTGTGACTTCGTTTATGGACCATGCCTCTCTGTTTATGATTCTAATCGCCTGCAAAAGTTACAAAATTCGTGCTTACGCCTTATATATGGAATAAGAAAGTTTGATAGAATTTCACATACATTAGAAAAAGCCGAATGGTTAAATATGTCAAATCGTAGAAAATTACATGCATTAACATTATTTCATAAAATTATAATAAAAAGAAGTCCCATTTATCTTTGGAAGAAAATTACATATCGTACAAATATTCACAGTACAAACACTCGTCAAAAAACTGCTATAGATATTCCTAAACATAAAACTCAACTATTTAAGAACTCCTATTCATATCAGATATCAAAAGAATATAATAACATTC